ATTCTATCAAAAGGCAATTGAAAGTCAGGAAAAATATTTCTTACAACCAGGTTTGACTTTTCATCACCTGTTTAGTATAGAGCAATAATTTTAAATTCTAAATATTGCATTTAAATTCAGGTATATAAAAACATATTAGCTCACAACAAGAGTGAAAAAAGTTGTGTTTTCTTAATGATGCAAAGGCAATAGCAGATTCTGGAAATATTAACCATGAATTTTGTAAAACCAATCATGAAACAACACTGGTACTCAATTTATTTACTGACTATTTCACCATCTTTGAAATAGCTGATTTGCCTCAAAAATAAAGCATCGCAACAGTTTGCTCCAGCCCTTAATGTTATTTTATCTATTCATGATATATAGACGCTGTACAAATAATATACAAGGACAAGGCTGGTAGCTCAATCTATCAAAAAGATCTAAAGAATAGTCCAGACTCTATTGATGTCAATAAACATTAGCCAATCTGACTTTAACAGAGGTAGTATTACAGCCAGTATAACACAGAGAAATTCTATTATGAAAGGACTAAACTGATTTCCTTTTCAAGGAAAGTATTTTCTTATTTACCAAATATAAACTGGGGTAGACACTCCACATGCAAATCTAATTACCTTCATTGCCAGACTGTAAGGTTCTAAAGCAGAAGGTTGGGCAGCCGGGTTTTGGGGGAGGGAAATGGCAGGTTGGCATCCCTAGCTTCTACATTTTTAGCCCATGTTATATTGTTTTGACATAATTATTTGACATAATAGTACAGCTGTCAAAGAATTCGCATACAGATTCTAGCTTTGTGCTATAGAAACATTGATGAATAACAATTGCATTTAGATGTCACCAAATGATTTGCGTTTCTACAAATAAGAAACCGATCTGGCCTCTGGGTTTCCTGTGCTTCCCTCTTTTCACTCTAAGATGAAGCTAACTTTCTTTTAACCTAGAATTCCAATAAACATCTAAAATAGTTCATTTCTTTTGGTCATAATTACAAATATTCCTTCTTCCTGTGTGTCTCATCAAAAATTATTAATTTTTTTACCTATTACCATTATCACTGTTCTGTAATTACACCTGGGATGGGAACCTGCAAATTTCAACTTTGTTCCATTTCAGTTCCCAGGAGCCTAGCCTAAGTGTTTCAGCAAGGTTACCCATCTTTAATCTATATGGCCTTCACTTGATTAAGCACAGCCCTTGCATTTTGTAATAACATTTCAGTATCGTCTGATTTTTCAGTCTATATAATATTAAGATGTGGGACCTATTTCAAATATTTTGAGCCTAAAAATTTGTTCAGTGTCTTCATAATGATATATCTCACTGCATGGTATGAAGTCAAACTTACTGGCATCATTTAGATTGAAATTTGCTTTTTACGAAATACAGTAAATCTACTATATATGTAGAGTCCTTCACAAGATTATTGCCAACCAGCACAGATAATATGCAGCAAGAATGTAGACACTGGATAGGTAATCAGATCTGATGTAAGAAGCTTCTATGTTTTTATTATTTTATTATTGCCTTTTTAATGTTTTTGTTTTGTTTTACTAAATCATGCTGTCTGCCTTTAAAATGTACAAAGCACTATGGCTTCAACTGAAATTTGCACTCAGTTCAGAATATAATTGTTAGCAAATGATTATTTAGTTATTAAAACATTTATGAAGGGATCTCTGGGATAGTGTGCAAACTAAACTCAGGAATCAAAATTACAATACCTTACAAAACCTAAAATTATCTTAGGCATGATGGCTGATATGAGGGAGAGGATGAGGGACAATATTTTTCCCCCACTGATCAAGATTATTGTAGCAACCAGCTACAAGGAGTGGTCCAATCTTGGCAACTTTAAGACTTATGGAATTCAATTTCTATAACTGCTGGGTGGGTGGGGAATTCTGGGAGTTGAAGTCAAGTCTTAAAAGTCACTAAGGTTTGACATTCCTGAGTTAAGTAGTTGAAAAAAAGGGAAATTGCTGATGGAAGGGAAAAAACTTATAGGATGATGGTAGAGGAAGGAGATTTTTAGAGCTTTTGTAAAAGGATCTGTCCCATTATGATGTTATCAAGAGCAAAGGTAAGCTTTGTGAGAACCAATTTTGAACTGAAACAGAAGCCCCATTTCTAAAACTTCTCTCTTAATGGTGAACTTTTGAATTTGCTTAATGTTTTGTCTTTATTAAAAATGTGGAGTTGGAAAGCCTGGGCTTTATTATATTTTATGTTATTCTATTTATTCAATTTTTATAGCCACCCATCTCCCATCCAATTGATTCTGGGTGGTGAACAATATCACAATAACCATAAAAACATAAAGATAGTTAAAATTATACATATAAGCAAGATTATGAGAATCATAATAATTACATAAAAATTAACAGTGCAACCAGGTAATGGGGCCCTTAACACTTCCAGAACCCCAGGCTCATGCACATAACCAGGTCTTTAGAGCAAGGGTGAAATGCACTTACCTTCACTACCGGATCGCAAATGTGAACGCATGCGCAGAGGGTCAAAAACGGGATGTGATGACATCCGGGAGGGTAGGCAGAGCCTCCCGCCACCAGTCCTATTGTATTGTGCAAGCCGGATAGATCCGGCTGGATTTCACCACTGCTTTAGAACCTTCAAAAAACTAACAGGGTTGGGGTCATTCTGAGATCTCATGGAAGAATGTTGCAGAGGGCAGGTGCTACTGCTGAGAAGGCACACCTCCTGGTCCACCACCACAGCCAGCATTTCTTGGCTGAAAGGGACTGCAGCATTCCCAATCTATTAGATTGATTCGGACAGGTAGAAAATATTGGGAGAAGATGTTCCCTTATTTAAACTCGTCCCAAGCTTTAAAGGTAACAACCAGCACCTTGAATTGCACCTGGAAACAAACAAACAGGAGCCATTGCAACTCCTGCAATAGTGGTGTAACTTGTGCTATATAATTGGCATCATTAACTAGCCATGCAACTGCATTTTCCAAATGCTTTTCAAGGGCAGCCCCATTTAAAGTGCATTACAGTAGTCCAGTCAAGTGGTAATGAGGGCATGAATGACTATGAGCAAAGCCTCCTAGCTCAGGTACTTTTCTTTATACCTGTCAGATAAACTTTCTTCCAATCCACAGGAGACCAAAAATTGATTAAAGGCCTGCCTCCATTATGACACCCATAAAAAGGAATAGGGCCATCTTGACTGTTTTGATCCCCACTCCCATCCCAGATACCCCTGTTTGCCATACTCTCCAAATATGTTGAATTTAAACTTCTACAATTCTGTAGGCACTTCTGTTTCCTATCATGGTATTCTAAAAGCAACATCTATTTTTGTACTAAACAAGTTTATAATATAATAAACATAACAGTTTATAATAATAGTTCATAATAAACATATCGGTTTCCTGATATTTCCAGAAAGCCCAAGAAAAGTTCATTCTGGCAGTTGCAAGTCTCTGGCCGTTAAGTGAGGCAATCCTGATCTAGATGGACAGTAATTCCATCTATGGTTAGGGTTAGGGTTAGGGTTAGGGTTAGGATAATTTCATATGTTTATATAAAACCCGTAGACAGAGGTTGCTGTATACACTTCATGAAAAGGTGCAAAAAGAGAAGTAAGTAAACAACAGAAGATGTGCTGAAGGTAAACAAGTTAGTTAAAAAAATTAAGCTATTCATGGAGGACTAAAATTGATACTATGATGGACATATTTTATACTCAATCCAGGTTCAAAGGCAGCAGATTGGAAAGCTTGAGCAGAGCAGGGAAAGCTTGTTTGCCCTTCTATTCCTCTTGTGAGTTTTCCAGAAACTCTGTATCTCTGTATTATTTTGAAAAAAAATGCTGGGGCATAACCTCATGTATAAACACATTTCAAACGATCACTTGAAGCAAAACATCTGTGTTGAATTTGGGGAGCAATAATCTGACTGCCCAATTGAATAGATTGTTCCAGCACAGAAAGAGCTTACCATAAAAATTCTGCATTTTTAAAGTATCTGTGTTTCAAACATTTGTGGGTTTTTTCTGTAAGGAAACTGATGGAAACCTATTGCAAGTATGTTTTTCTTTATATATTCAGAGAACATGAAATATTATGAATAATCTTCTAGAAAACCCTAAGTATGTGTCCATGTATTAGCTTGTACTATTTTGTTTCCCTTAGCTGACAAAAGTGAACTTTTGAAAAAAGGAAAATCAGTAGTTCAACACAGAAACGCGTGCAAAGTTGTTAAATGCAATTGCAAAATAAGAACAGCTTCCCTCAGTATGATCAGTGTTTGAAAAAAAAGACAGCTAGCAAACTGTCCATCATATGATGAAATTTGACAGTAGGGATTATAGCTTTGATGGACCAGAACAGCTAATAGAAGAAGCTGACATTTTTGAAACCCTGCTAATTAAGGGTTCCTTCCTTAATATTAAAATAAAGTCTTTGTCTGGGTTTTATGGTTGGAGAATCAGGTGTTTTCATTAATATATGCCAGTCAGTCTTAATAAGCTTGGAGGGCAGAGGAAGTTATTATTGAGTGACCTTCTACAAAATAAGCATGTTGCTAAGGGCTCTAACCCTGCCCTGTTCAGACTGATGAATCTCATTTCCAATGCAAAGGCTTCACAAGAAATCCAAGTATTCTCTGTGCAATCACAGAAAATAATCCTTGTGTCTCTTGTAATGTCCAGAATTGCCACTTACTATACTTCTACTGTACAATGAATATTACAATACATATTATTTTTTCAGCACAATTGTCTACATTTTTCAATTGGCAAGAATAGAAAAACTTATTGTCAAGATACTTACACTGAAAAGTCAGCTCATTTTAATACTTCTCAAATAGTCATCTATTCTGCTCATGAATTATAATGCACAGAACACATCCAACAATACTCGCTTTGTAAAAAAAGATGTGTCTATATGATTACATATTCATTTTCAAATAGATCTCGAGCAGATTTTGAAGCATGCATTGAAATTCATTGAAATGATAAATTCATGGTTAGATTTTGATTTGCTTTTAATCCAATTTTAGGTATAATACATTTCACCTTTTCATAGTGGTTTTGCTTATCTGTTGGCTCATGAAGCCATAGAAATTTGAGGTAGGCTTTTTTCTTTTGCATCATAGTATCTGTAGATGAAAAATAGAAATCAACTAGTTAGATGAAATCAGTCAAATATCAACACTGTCACTTCATCATTCTTTTATTTTGTTGTGAGTGCCAGATTATTTCCAATGTATATGGATGTAATGGCAGCTTCTTGCAATAAAGTAGATGTGATGGACAGCTTAAGATAGACTAATCAGGAAATATCCAAGTCCCTGCTTCTAGCTGATAATAATCTATTGCCATGTGATAAATAAACTATCCATACAAAGGAATATTCTCCTCTCATAATTTAAATGATACTTGTTTTTTTACTCAATCAAACTAACTATTTTCCATTGTTTAGGAATAGGTTTTCAGTGTTTTTCTTTCATACACAACTGATAAGAGGACACTTTTTTCTCTATGTGCTCTTCTTTATAATATTTTGGAGGCTTCTTCAGACACACTGCTTCCCACATTTGGTGGGATGGGTGGATATCAGGAGAGATCTGTCTGTGGGATCTTTCTCCGAGGCAAATATGCTTGGTATTCTAACTCTACATTTAGATTTTCCTCACTGGGCAGATTGTTAACCTTTCATGTTTTTGTTAGTTTAATTGCAAGCTTTTTATGTTTATATTATTTTTATTGTTGCCTTTTTAATGCTTTTGTTTTGTTTTTAGTTCTGTAAATATTTCAAGGGCATGCCAGTCGTACAGAGTGTAAATTAAATAAGTGAAGAGTCAAAACAATATTTCAAGCTTAATAATTTGGTCACAATAAAACTCATTACAGTAGAAATGGTGGAATTGGACTATATTAGATTCCATTTCATAACTGTAAATAGCATATTGTTAACCATGTTTCAGGATCTCAGCTTAAATGATTAAAGAGTAATTGCATTTCATGTATTTATATTGCCATATCAAATATAGTCGATGTATTTGCCATTTCTTTGGAAATGTAATTTTAATTAGGAAGTGTCAACTAAGTATTTGTTGCCAGCTAAATATTCTTGGATGGTGAGTGCACATGTGAATGTCAGCATGCAAGTGCTTAACAAAGGACCATCATCCAGTTCAAGACTGATCTGTTTCCATTCCATTCCCTTTTGCTTATACTAATTCTCAGCCTGTTCCATTATATTTCTGGCTGAATATGCAATTAGAAAACAGGGTACATGAAAATTAATTCATTAAAGATAAATTTAAAATATGTATGACTAAATCTATACTAAATGAAAACAATAAAGTATTGTTCTGCCAGTAACAGCATTGCAAAGTTTGGAGAAGTTTAAAATCCAAAGGAGAAATATATTCTGTTTGGCATATTGTTTCAAGAGGTATTATTAAGTCAGTTTGCATTGGAATTTATAAATACTACATTCCTCAAATATTCTGATTTTGAACACTGATGATATGCTCATTCTTTTTAATTGTAGACTAATGATTTCTCAGAAACTATTCCTTGATTGAAGATATGAAAAATCCACAATCTAAATATTTTAAATTATTAATAGCTTAATTTGATTGAATTTTTCATTGTCAAACCTAAAATAATATCTGTAGGAATATATGTAAAGTACACTTTAATACCTGCTTGAGAGATCAACCTACTATGCCAATGTAATAAAATTCTTTGTATGTGTATTACATTGTATGCCAATAGATTTCATTGGATTTAATTGAAAATAGTCAATTAAAGTATGTATATACTAATACGTGGCTGTATATTTGCAGTCTTAATAGAATGTCCCATAGCAGTTATAGATGTTTTATTCATATAATCATGAAAGTAACTTTATTAAGGCCAGCAAAAATGTGCCAGAAGGAAGGTGGGCCTTCTGAAATCCATTTTGGCTCAATACTTCCCCTTCAAAAAAATTATGCACTCACCCTAGGAAAAAAAGAAGACATAAGGAGTATATGTATGTGTTCAGTGTATATGTTGCTTTTCTAGCGAATTTAATTGAAACCCAAGATCAGTGAAGACACGTTCACCAGAGATGGTATTCAGCCGGTTCACGCGAACCAGTGGTGGGAATTTGGCCAAGGTCACCGAAATAGTAGCGATGGCAGGCTGGCCACGCCCCTGAACCGGACCCCTGGTTGCCGCTCACTCGCCCCGGCCACCATGTTCGTCGCCGCCATGTTCTTTGTGCACATGCATCCCATTGCTTGCAAGTCCAATGGGATGCGCATGCGCAAAGAACATGGTGACGGCAGCAGCTTTTCCCACCGGTAGTTTCTGGTGGCCTGCGGCCAGCTGTCACAGCCACAAAGCAGCTCTCAAAGAGGCGGGATGCTTCTTTGCCAGCCACTTTCCAGCAGCAGCGGTTGGCTGGGGGCCACCGAAAACTCCGGTCAGCTTGCCTTCCAGACTCTGGACCAGCCGCCACAGAAGGTAAGGAGCCTGAACAAAGAGGCGGTGGGGGGGAGGAAGCAGGGCTAGGGCCGGGGCTGCTAAAGGAGGGGAAACACGGGTGACTGGTGGAGGGAGGGTGGGGGTAGATAGGTGGAAATTCCAAAAAATTTCCTACCTTTCCCGCTACTGGTTTGGTGAGCGTGACTAGATGGGGAGTCATGTGACTGAATGGCCGCAGACATGAGTGATGTCAAGTTGGCCATGCTCACTCAGTCACATGCTCCCACCTAGCCACGCCCACCAAACCAGTAGCGAAAATTTTTGAAACCCACCACTGACGTTCACCATATTTCCTTTAGGTAATTCAAAATTATGAATTTTATCATAGCATGCTAAAAGATGTAATCCTTTGTAACTCTGAGAGAACCAATAAAGCACCACAAGACTGAATGAAGGCAGCTCTTCAGAAAGCAGGAAGTATGGATCCAAGCAACTATTTACTAGTCAGCTTGTCATTTCAATTTGAAAAAGGTCCTATATATACTAGGATTATAATAAATCAGCAGAACTTTTTGAACTTTTTATATGTACACACTAAGAAGTGGTATTGGGAAAATGATGTAGTTTCTCTTTAATGTCTGTTAATCCCCATGGGTTTCTTCTTGGTGTCCAAATACTGTGCACACATAAAGAAAATGATGTATGAGTCAACTTTGGTGCCAGGAGTTAGGGGCATCCACAAGAATAGTCACTGGTTCCAAAGTGATGAGTGCAACTCAGGTGACCAAACCGCAGTGCCTTTTAAATGTGCACTGTGCGCCGTTGCAGGCATGTAAAAAAAGGAGTAGGGCTTCTATCATGTCAATGAACATAGTGATTATGGTAGCAGATTCCTCTGCACAGTCTGTTGTCCCATCAGCTTGGCTATCAATGAATATCATCACCAAGATAATCTAATTTGTTACTAGATATTCACCCAACAATGGGCAAATTCTCAAAATATTTCTTTTTGTAAGAGGGATAATCAGAACATAGAGTTTCAAATGACCTTTTACTAGTTACTTCCCACAAGAAGGATCACTGAAGTTCTTCTGCCTCTGAAATCTAATAGATTTCTGGATATTCTATGATCTGAGTTGTTGAAGCCAGTGTGCTGGAATGGTGAAATGAGGCTATTTATTAACATAATTGATCATTAATTCTCTCTTTGACTTTATATATCCTGCGTTATAGCCTAATGTAGAATGAAATTTCTAGGAGCTAATGGTTAGAGTGTAACAGAACATGCCACATTGGTGCTGAAACTTTATATATTTAAAAAAAATTAAAGTTTTTATTTGTACTTCTATTACATCTGCTGAGCTATTCTGAATTGTTCAGAGTTCATGAATGCCTGCCTAATGACTGGACTGCCTAAGCCATCATCCCATTGTCACAAGTTCATTGAATATTTTGAAAGTAAAATAGCTTACCTCCCCATTGATTTGGATGCCAGATTTGAGTAAAACTAAAATGGAGGATTCAACTTTTTTATAAAATCAGTTTCAGCTGTTGCAATTGAGGACACCTGTAAAATTAATATGAAGTAGCTATAAGGATGACCCCTAATTAGTCCTATTAGGGCTAATTAAAACAAACTAATTGATGGAGTGGATCATCAAAAAGACTGTGATAAATGCATTGTTGCATTAAAGAAAAAATAGGGCAGCTCCTCCTGAAGAAAATTTTCCAGACTCAGAAATATTGGTTAGTTTTTGCCTAATTACCAGAATTAGTTTTCTTTGAAAAAGAGTATGAGGATACACTCCCAGCTTCTTTCTCTCTCTCTCTCTCCCTCCTTCCCTCCCATCCCTGTCCCTCACTAAATAAATACATATTTTTTAAAAAATGTTTTTATTCAAAAGATTAAAATACAAAATCCAAACGAAAAAATTAAAGACAAAACAAAGCTAGACAAGAACATTTTTAAAATGTGAACTAAAAAGCCAAAACCACATATATATCCCCTGTTGTTGAACACTAACAGATATATTTCAACAATAATAGCTTCCCCCCTTGGAAAACAGATCCACAATTTATACACTTCTCCATCTATATGCAACCCAATTTGACCTGGCATACATTGTATATATGAAGAAAAAATAGATTAAACAACAGCAAAATTAAAGTTCAAAGCCCTCTGTTAACAATATGTTATTGTAATTTACTCATAGAAAGTCTACCACAGTTGCTTACCTACATAAATCACCCCAATCATTATCTTTGATCCATCTAGGATCAAATACCCTCATTTGGCTCTTAATAATAAAACCTTTCTTTAGAAATTTAATTAGGAACTTTCCCAACAATTGCATCTCATTTCCAAACTTTATAGGCCTCTGTTGTAAATATTTCTGCAGCATCCATTGTTGAAAAATTCTCCTTAAAAATAGAGCGTTCATCTTGCCAAGAAAGTCCAGTCCATCCTTCATCAATTCTATTATCCCAGAATTTCTTGTATTCATATTCATTTCAATCTTTTCTGGCAGATCTATAATTTTCAAACCAAGTACTTTCTTCTTCACATCTGGCAGCAACAGATCAGATTCCAATTCCTCAAATTGCAAATTAGGTCCAACTGTTATTTCTTTCTTTTGGATATTGCCCTAGGTTTGGTTCAAAGCCATTGTTGACCCATCAAATATTTTCAAACAAAACCTGTAAGTTGGAGAGCATTTTTTTCAAACAGAGATAACAATAATACTTAGATTTATGTACCACTTCATAGTGCTTTATAGCACTTTCTAAGAGATTTATGGAGTCAACATATTGTCCGCAACAATCATGATCCTCATTTTACCAACCTCAGAAGGATGGAAAGCTGAGTCAACCTTGAGCCAGTCAGGATCGAACTCCTGGCAGTGAGTAGAGTCAGCCTGCAATACTGCATTCTAACCATTGCACCATCACAGCTCCCAGAAAATTTTATCTCCTTTTAAAAATACACTGTTCTTTCTAAGAACAAGAGAAGCAGATAAATCATAATCCAGCGTCCACAGAGAAAGGTTGAGATACAGGTTTTTTTTCTCCACAATAAAAAATGATTTAAAAAGGGGGAGTTTTCCCATTAAAAATTTAAAAATAAAGATCAGAGCTCTTTTTTTTTAAGAGCTAGAAAGAACAAATTTTGTAATAAAATAAGTTTAAGTCCAATTGGATGACTTTCACTGCCTGAAAAAATATATTTTCACCACAAACTTCCTTACAGTGAAAATGAAAGTGGTTTGGAGTTCAATGGTAATCTGTGAAAGAACAAAAAAAGAAAGTTGTAAAAGTCCAGCAAGGGATTATAAAATAGGTCAGCAGTCAACTAGTCATAAATGAAAGGTAGCAAAGCTTTAAAAGGTGCAGTTAAAACCCAGGCACCTTTAGGAAAAATGACCCGACCTTCCAATCGACCCTTACTGAGAATTGCAGTTTTCAAGATCCCCTCTTCTCTCTCCCCTCTTCTCTGCAAGTGCACTATCATCCAAAGGTCATCTTGGGTCTTTCCTAGACTCCCTTCAAAAACCAGGGGCAAAGTTGCCAAATAACCAGTTTCAGTGGAGAAATCAGCGGTTCATTAGTGGGAGAAAAAGAATTGAGAAAAAGAGCCTTGGTAGTACAGTGGTGTAAAGCACCCTGTTATTAAGACCAGATGCCTGCAATTACTGCAGGTTCGAATCTCGCCAGGCTCAAGGTTGACTCAGCCTTCCATCCTTTCTAAGGTAGGTAAATTGAGGACCCAGTTGTGGGGGCAATAAGCTGACTTTGTATAAATATACAAAAGGATGAAGGCTATTGCTTAGCGCATTGTAAGCCGCCCTGAGTCTCTGGAGAAGGGTGGCATATAAATCAATTTTTTTTAAAAAAATTGCCCTCTGCTGAACACACCATCTTGGGGGAAGTCCTGAATGTTTCCATCTAGAATCAGATCTAGTTTTGAGATTGATTTAAATCATTTCTATGATGATCTACTTTTATTGTGAAAGAGTTGATGGGATACAGCCCTGATGCTGTATTTTATTGGATCTGTTGGTGGCTTTTGATACTACTGACCATAGTAATTTGGAAATTGGGGATACAAAGCATTGCTTTAAAATTAGTTGAGCTTTTATCTATAAGGTTGAGTAACATATTTGTTTCCTCTCCTTTGAAGGCGCTATTCCATTATTGTTAGTCATATAATTTTATGGATTATGTAGGCAACTAAAAGAAAGAAGGACATAATTAAATCTGTTAGATAGTGACCCTCAGGCTGCAATATGTGAAACTAGTGATTGTGTGATGCATCTGCCATTCTTCTGAAAAATGGCTGCAGCACATAAAATAAAATTAAGACTCATTTACTGGCGAATATCTGCTCATCTTTACAAGAAACATGAACATGGATTGCAAGCTTTTCTTCCAGCCAACTCAATGATACTGAAGGATCTGAGCTAGATCCAAATGAATCTACTAAACAATTACATTGTCCCAACTAATTCTCATCATTTTTTAAAAAACATGCTGATTTTCTATGCTTTTTCTTGCCCACCCCTGTATTTTAAATATTTTCCCTAGCCTTATACAATAGGAAAAGCACATTTATACATGTGCTTGTATGAGCCAAAATGATGTAAATCATGTAATTGGGTGAATTGCATCATGACACAAATGATGAACATTTTGATATGAATAATCATCCTACCTGATGATGTTTATGAATTTATTTGCTGTCTTTCCTCAGAAGATCATGTACAAGTTGCAGTGTGAGATAACAGATATTTTGTTTTTCAAATCACCATTCTTCGTGTAGAACAAAACAAGAGTCACAGGATATTAAATGTATTTCACACAGTTGCAGGACTTTTAATTGGGGATAAATGTGTTACAAAATCAAGCTAGCTATTTCTGTGCAACTTGACAAATTCAAATCCCAAATCTGAAGTCCCAGATCAAATCTCACATCTGAGATTTGATGCTTATTAATTGAGTATAAACTTTGATTACAGCAATAATATGTGAACAGTGAGCATCACATAGCACATAAAACCATTTATCATTATTTCTTCATTACCCGTATTCCATTTCCAAACTCATGTAATTTTGGGGTATTTAGATTTTGAGGTTTCTCACTCCAAACATTCTTCCCTCGTTCCTTAAATCTCTTGTATTTGGCTCAGAAAAAAAGCTAGTCAGTACATAATATTAAATATACACTTTATAATTATTTTTAAAAATAGAAGAAGGAAAGAGGATTAGATGTGTACACCCCCTTAAGTTATTTCTAAAAAAATAATAAAGGAGAGATATAAATAAATAACCAAACAAACAAACCAAGTTAAGGGACATGCTGAATTTTGATGAAGATGTTTGGAAAATAAATTCTTCTAGAACCTTTCCCCAAAATTAATAATTGCAATTAGCAATTTTAGCAAAGAGCGAAGACCAATTTTAGAGTGGCTTTTTGTTGCTGTTGTTTGATTTATGAATTTCCAACACCATCTATACCAGGGGTGTCAAACTCGATTTCATTGAGGGCCACATCAGGGTTGTGTTTCACCTGGGGGGGGGCTGGGGTGTGTGTGGCCAGGGTGGGTGTGGCCAGCTCGACAACACTCATGTCAGGGGAGCCTGTGGTGGCCTGTGTGCTCTGCCAGAGAAAATGGGCTCCCAAGCTCCATTTTTGGCTGTGACAGCCTCCTGCAACCCTGTGCCAGCGAAAACGGAATTCAGGAGGACTGCAAGCAGCCCACTCGAGCTCCATTTTCAGCTGCAATGGCCTCCTGCAACCCTCTTTCCAGATCTAAGCACCCTACGAGCCATATCCAGCCCCCGGGCCTTGAGTTTGACACCCCTGATCTATACAGACCCTCTCACTTCAATGACTGCTGCAAAAGTTTTTTAAAAAATTTTTTTAACTGTAATTGTAACTATATACAATTATGTGAAGTTTAGTGCTAGCATTCACACATATTTTGGGCACATTATAGTATGTGAAGACCAGGCGTTTTGAGAAGTCTATAATGCTGGGAAAGATAAAAGAAGTGAATGGATGTTGTAAAATGGATGTTGATGGGTACCCCATTGAAAGATCTGAAGGGCCAGGTTGGAAACAGATTATTCTGCAAAAGATCTTTCTGTGTGGTCACTAAGAATAGACATTGACCTGATGGCACATTATACTTAAACAGTTGGAGAGTGAAGTGTCAATCTAATGGGAGTTGTGGGGGCTATTGTATTGAATTTTATTATTCAATAATTTCGAGTTTCTACCACAGACATTGTACTGTATTGTTTCTTCTTAAGGTTATATTGTGAACCACTAGGAGTCTTTTGACTGCAGTAGTTACAAATTTAATAAAGAACTGCCGAAGGAAAATAGAAAACAACATATTTTTTTCTATATTGCACCAATCATATCACAGTATCACTTGCTAACCTATCACTGTTAATGATTTTGGATGATCTTCAAATGTGGGCCCAACATGAATGTGTTGCAGTACGCTGGGCATTATGTAGCTGTTTCTGGGATATTTGACAGAATATTGGTTCAAGAATATTGATAACTGGTGTATTAAATTTAATTTAGCAAACAACTACTTGCCATCACAAAGGACATTGAGAATCAAGCAAAACATTCAAGCAGTGAATCTGATAGTTCAGGAACAGCATATTTATTTATTTATTTATTTGTTCAACTTGTATGCTGCCTTTCTCCGAAGACTTGTTTCAGAAGTCATTGGATTCCAATAATTAATCCATGCTTCCTGTTGACATTCTGGTTTTAATTTCAACATATTCATTAATTCTTAATCAAACATAGGCAAGCGTTAAATGCAAAAAAAAAGCATAGAGCTGAGTGTATATTGGCAATATCTGACTCTTCCAAAAATGTATCTCAGTGGTTTTAAGCAGGTAAACGATGGGGTACCATAATCCAGAAGCAGTCAGTCCACAATTTCTTCTGTATATATTTTTGTTTATTAATAAAGACTCAGAATTGGTGTAGAGTATTATGAGGAGGCTTAAAACTAATGGGGGGGAGGGAACCCTCTAAATGATTTGCCTGCAGAGCTTTATTGAATATGACCCTGCCATTTTGTCAATCCCCCAGTCAGATGGGCCTATGGGGCACATTTTGTACAAGCAGTAGGTTCCTACATTTAGTCCTTGGCATCCTCAGATAGGATGGGAAAGTCTCTTGCTTGAAATTTAGGAAAACCACTACCATTATATCAATCAATGAATCAGAATAGAGCTGGAAGGGACCTTGGAGGTCTTCTAATCCAATCCCGTGCGCAAATATATAATTGATTAGTGCAGGGGTGGGCAACTGTGGCCCTTTTACAACCTGTGGACTTCAACTCCCAGAATTCCTGAGCCAGCTTGGCTGTCTCAGGAATTCTGGGAGTTGAAGTCCACAGGGCATAAAGGGGCCATATTTGCCCACCCTGGATTAGTGGAATTAGTATGCTGTCTCATCTTAAACAAGGTCCTATATTGTACCCTTGTACCCATCCAGTTTTGATCCATAACTCAATGTATTTTTCTTTTCATCTGACAGCAAGTATTTGGAATCATTATAATCGTTATTACACAATCCTGATCCTACAGTGATGTTGGAACTGGCTTCTGCTCAGACCTGATACAAATGTGGCAGGGATGCAAAAATTATCAAAGTTATGTTTAAATAACCAATAATCAGTCAGGCTATGCAGTGACTAAGGAGTTGAAAAGTTAATACTCCAATATCTATGGCTCCAGGAAAGCATACACATTTATCAGCAGATGTCAATACAAGGCTTCTATCTGCCAAATCATATTCTCTACACTCTTATTTCTTACCTGTTAATAGAAATGCTATATGGGATTTGCTGCATAGTAGTAGATCATGTAAATACTTTTTCTTTAACTGCAGTGTATTTCAGTGGATTGATTCCATTGCAAAGTATTTTTCAACATTTAATTAGAAGCTGCTTAATTTAATGGCTAATATAGAATATAAATACATTTTAATTTGTAAATAAAATAGGGGGGAATCCTGTCAACGACATTGATTTGTGATGAGATATCTATCTATCTTTTTGCTGATTAATATTGGACTCTGATTTTTGCCTCTTGATTTCCAACACTATAATATCAATAATTAGAGAGCTAATAATACTATTCTGAAAAAAGATAGTTACAATAGTCTGTACATTTATTTGTATCTTGCCTTTCTTCCATTTTCATTCTCCCCATGCTCCCAGAGTATGAGAAAGAATTTCATGAGCTTGTAATTTCAAGGTTCTCAGTTCACCATACACAGACTTCCCTCCTGAATTTGCAGGGCTGAAATGTTCAGTCCATTTGTGTGTATGTGTACATGTGTCTTGGGGGCTCGTTTACATTTTAAATGTTTAAAGTACTCATTTTCCCCTTTAAAAAGTCAGCTCAAAATGGGCAATGTTGCCACTATGGAACTAAGCTTAAAACACAACCCTCCAAAAAATGCAAAAACAGCTGGGCCAAACATAGGTTCTGCCCAATCTGGAAGTTCATGATGTCTTAAGCCCACCCCTCGTGGCTTCTAAACAAATTAAAAGGCAAAGTGTAACCCCTCTCACCTGAAGAAGGGTGTTCTTCTCTGGCCTTGGCTAAGAGGTCCTTACTAGCCCAAGTGATTTCCTGAGCTTTATCATTGAGCAGAGATTTACACCTGGGTCATTCTCTGTCACTTTCTAATCACATATTTAATTTGTACTGTACGTGATTCCATTCATATTTAATCTTCTGCTAGTTAGATGAAGTAGACTTTCCCCCGACAAGAATGTAATGTATATAGCAACATAGATAAAAAGAAGTGGCTTGATGAAGAAATAAACCCACTTTCAGGAGCAAATAAGCTAAACATCAAATCTGAAGACAGATGCTTTCTTTCACACTTTGTTTCTTGCTTCACCCTTATATCCTCTCCCTTTACTGTATGCTACACAACTGATTCTTTTGCACATGTGGGCAGAGTTATTTCCAATTTCTTTTAAAACTTGCTTGGAAGTGTCTTTAACAGCATATAAATGTTATAATAATAATGAATTAATACCAGACCATTCTGCCAAACCCCGTGTATTCAAGTGCATTCCTTATTTCATAACCTTGCTTTTCCCTTAACAACGTGCCTTCCTGCTACTAAATAAAAGCAATTCAGTAGAAAGAATGATGAATAAAAAACAAGTTATTTAACTCATTCAAGCCTAAAATAAAATACAGTGTCAAGTAAAAATTGTCTTTACTATCTGTAAATTAGGAATTGAATTTTAAATTAAAAGCCCCCAACTGCATTTTAAGCATATTTCAGTTGCAGACAATCTTATAAAATAAACAGTTTCAGTAAGCCATCATTTGAAATTGAGATGCTTATTTTTAGAAAAGTTAGCATGTAAAGAGATTGTTTTATTTTACTGCTAAATATACTTTTTACAGGATTATTCTTCACCGACATTTCCTTCATTGAATATGATAACAAAGCATAAATCAGGGTCACAAATTCATTCCTGCCCCGTGGGAAGAAGGGATTATATGTCAATAATCCTGTTAATAGTAAGCATGGCCGCTAAGCATTTCACACTGCAGTAATTTGGTAAACTGAATTTGAGAAATTGAGATATCAAATGAAATTAATAAAATGACTATTTTTATTGTTTGTTTGAAATTAGTGATCGTTAAAAAGGCACACTTTCCTTGCCCAGAAATGTATTGGAGCAGTTCAGTAAATTATTCGATAGTTTCTGGCTATTGTTTTTCCCTCAAAATTCCTTCCTTAA